AAGAAGAAGAAGAAGAAGAAGAAGAAGAAGAAGAGAGAGAGAGAGCGAGAGAAAGAGAGAGTGAGTGAGTGAGTGAGAGAGAGAGAGAGAGAGCGAGAGAGAGAGAGTGAGTGAGAGAGAGAGAGAGAGAGAGAGAGAGAGAGAGAGAGAGAGAGAGAGAGAGAGAGAGAGAGAGAGAGAGAGAGAGAAGAGAAGGAGAGAGAGAGAGAGAGAAGAGTAGGAGTAAACATTTTGACGAGTTCAACTAAGTGAATAATGATAATAACATGATTTTATCTAGTCTTTTTGCTGGCATATATGAGTGTTCATTAAGTTTTCGTCAACTCTGACAACAAAGTTCAAACAGCCCACCTCTTCACTGATCTAATTTTAACACGGGCTTACGGCAAACTACCACTGTTGTAAAAATCATTCAAAGGTTGAATCCATGGCGTGTTACATATCTGTGTTTTCTGACGTTCAAGATGGCTGATGTGTCGTCTGGACTTCCTGAGTCACATCATTGTGCTGACCACCTGTGTCCTGGCAGTGACCTTGAGATCTGACCTCTCCCCGGGCCTGACAGGACTCACTATTACTTACATGCTTAGGGTAAGTATATCCTGTCGTGCATGTTTTGATTATTTGTGTGTTTATGCGCATTTAAATATTCGTACAAACAAGAAAATTAGTAAATAAATAAATACATAGATAGTTAAATAAATAAATGAATAAATAAATAAATAAATAATCAAATAAATAAATAAACACGCCTATACTGATGATCATGGTGAAGTTTGTGTTAAAATAGCATACACACATATAATATATAAATACCTAGATAGATATATACCTTAACACACACATGCATTAAAAGACTATCAAAGTAACCAAATTCCCAATACAATATATATGCAAAGAATTTTACGAGGATGCCATTGTGCAGCACCCTGTATTTTGAGCTAGGTTTATTATGTTTTGCTCTGGGACTCACCCCAGTGACTACCCACCAAAACGCCATGCCACCGACTTATACATCCGACTTATATATTATCATACAATACCGCACTATACAATGAAGCAGTCCCAAATTATATTCAAGTCCGACCATTCCCCTGTGTCCGTCTTCTCGCTTCTGAAGGTGACGAAGAATTTCTCCACGGTGACCCGACTCTCTGGAGAGTACGAAACAGCCGTGGTGTCTGTGGAGAGGATTATGGAATATTCTGGTCTAGAGAGTGAGGTGAGTTTTTTGTTTAAAGCCGATGTAAAAGATGATACGTTAGTGGGCCGTGTACTGTCCTGAACTTACGTCCGTTTCCGAATTTAGGTTTTCTTTTTCGGTCACGAGGCTGCTGGAAATGTGTTTTTTTTTTGCCCCAAATTTTTGTAGCTGATCCTTTTGTTCCGTAGAATTACCGTTTTATTTTGTAGTTACTCCCTTTTCCACAACTGGAATTCAATATATTTCATGATGATTTACAACTACCTCCAAAATATCGGGTTGGCATAAGATTGCACTTAGCTCGCGGTGTGTGTGTGTGTGTACGTGTGTGTGTGTGTGTGTGTGTGTGTGTGTGTGTGTGTGTGTGTGTGTATGTGTGTGTATGTGTGTGAGTGTGTGTGTGTCTGTTTGTCTGAACGCGCGTATACGTACAAGCGTGGGTAATAGGCAATATCTTTGCGAATATTATACATCGCTATCGACACATTTTGATCATTAAGGAAGTGGCTTTTTCGACCCTACCTGTCACGACCCACCTGGGCTAGGAGGAATCCAACGTCCCGACAGACGGACGAAGATTCTCGATTAAAAAAAAAAGAACCTCCTCACACAAGAATAAAACTCAAGTCTGCATGCGTGTGACAATAGAGAGTGTAACCACAACACCACATGTAATATGCGCGCACATGTGTGTGTGTGTGTGTGTGTGTGTATGTGTGTGTGTGTGTGT